TTTCTTCTTGTTGGTGAGGAGGTCTTTCATGAACTTGGCGTACTTGGGCATCTTCGACAATGCCTCCACGAACGGCATGCTGATGTTGACCTGCTTCAACATTGCAATGAACTTGGCAAACTCAGTCTCCAGCCTGTCTTTGTGTAGGCGAGTGGGAAAGGGAAGCTGGGGTACATGCTCCTTAACCACTGACTGTGGCTTGGGAGCAGGTGCTTCTTTGTCCATCCCCACTTCTGCATTTTCGACTGGAAGTATTGAAGCAGGTAGTGGCTCGTCCTGCCTGGCCTGGGTAGGAGCAGCATATGTGGTCTTGCCACTCCTAGTAGTGATGGCATCTAGCTGCTGGTGCTGGTGAGGCTCACGAGGGTTCGGAATGGTGGTGGCAGGCAGAGTCCCCGGTGCTCTGGTAGTATTTTGGCGAGCTATGCCACCAATATGATTCTGTAGATCTTGCAAAATGGCACCTTGGTTCCTCTGGCCTGCCTCCAGTGAGGCTATGTTCTGGTCCATCCTCGTGAAATTCGCCTGCCTGGTGGTCATGAATACCTGCAAAATATTTTTAAGCTCCATCATCTGATTATCGGGAGCTGCAGCTGCTGGAGGCTGGGCATACTGACGCTGGGGCTGCTGGAATGGTTGCCCCTGCCTAGGCTGGTAAGGCTGCTGCTGTGGAGCTGGTCCCTGTCTAGCCTGGAAAGGCTGCCTCTGCTGAAAACCACCTGCTGGTGCTGGGAAACCAGGTGGTTTAGTGGTGTTACTATTCCAAGCGAAGTTGGGATGTTGGCGCCACCCCTCATTGTATGTATTGCTGTATGGGTCAAGGCGCCGAGCATTGGCGATGAAGTCCAACTACTCTTGGGGCGTAGAAGACTCCCGCATAGCTTGGCAGTCCTCCACTAGATGATTCGAACTCTCACACCACTAACATTGAGCTACTGGAGGTACATCCAAACCTCTGCCCGGAATAAGATTGTTGGGCTGCTTCAATGTCTGCACCAACTCGGCCACCTCCAGCTCTAGCCTGGACCTGGCCTCCATGGCGTGCACACCACGATCCCGGAAATTCCTGCCTCTGGTGCTCTGCCCCCAGGAATGATATCTGGAAGCCAAGGTGCTGATCATCTGGTTCAGTTTGGGTGGAGTCTTAGTAAGAATATCCCCTCCTGGGCATAGAGACTCAATCACCCTTTGGCTTTCCGGAGATAGAGCGATGTAGAAGTTCCCCAGGGTGAATGCATCACTGAAGCCATGATGGGGACACTGCCAGAAAAATCTCGAGTACCTCTCCCATGCATCACAAAGTGACTCATCTGGCTCTTGGTGGAAGTGAGTGATCTCCCGCTGGATCACTATGGTCTTCGATGCTGGATAGTACCTGTGCACGAACTTGTCGGCCAGATCGTCCCAAGAAGTGATGGACAATGGGGGCTGGGTCTCCAACCACCACTTAGCATGCCCCGCCAGAGAATGGGGAAAGAGGTGAAGGCGGATCGCATCATCGGGTACACCGTTCATCTTGAACCCGTTCGTCAGCTGCAGGAAATGGGAAAGATGCACCCTTGCCTCCTCATCCTTCAAGCCATGAAACTGGATAGAGGATGTAATGAGTTGAATCCAGCATGGCTTGATCTTGAAGTTGTTTGCTGGGATGGGCGGATAGAGGATGACAGAGCGGATATCAGCGACCTGTGGAGTGTAGTAGTACTCCAAGGTGGGACCCGGCGATGGTGGTTGATGATGAACCCCATCTGCCTGGGGTATAGGGTTGTGCCCCAAGATCTGATTCACCAGGGGAACCTGGAGAGGTATCCCCTAGGGCTGGTTATGTTCGCCTTCCATCTCGTACTCGTCCTCGAAATCGCTGCTCAAGTGGCCATCTATGCGCTCCTCCGTAGCCAGTCTAGCTTGCTGTTGTCTCCTAAGTTGGCGACAGGTGCGTTCAAGTTTGGATCCAACGACAGTAAACCTCCTGACTGGCTACGGGTCATGCACTACCTGCACACAGTCAAGCAGCAAACCCGTGAAGGCACAAGTGTGACAAAGCAAACAATGGTAAAAAGAAAAGCTAAATTAACAGAAATCACGTTTCTTCAACAACCTAGCCGTTCCCCGGCAACGGCGCCCAAAACTTGACTCGCTCCTAAGTGTGATGACTACTCTGTGAGTTCTTATTATTTAGTGGTGAAACTTTAGTGAAGTCCAAACAAGCAAAGCAAGTAAAAAGGTTGTTTTCAAGTCGAGAGAGGTCACCCGGATATGGTTCCCCCCTAGACTGCAGTTAAGCCGGATTGTAAGTTACCAAGTTCAATTCCAATGATAGTTATACTGCGGGAGGTTCATAAGCAGTCTGCAGTCTCGACTAAAGGTCTCCAGACCCTCTCAATCTGAGTCCCCAGCGGGTGACTAACCTCCATTGGAGTAAACAGATTGAGGCCCTAACGAATCAAACCTCCACAACCGAAGTAAATTCGGTACAGAATAGTGAATTGACTCCTCGACTAAAGTCGCCAATTCACTACCTTCAATCAAGGATGCTCTATCAACCTAGGCAGATATTCTCTTTCTAGGTAAAAGAAGAAACAACAGGAATTTGATCAAGATTCATGTCATTCAACAATTCAAACCTCAATTGAATATAATCAAATCATAGAATCTGTACTTGGGTTCATACAATCAGACCTATCATACAAATCTAGGGTTCTTCATACCCAGGTGAATAAGAAAGTTACTCCATAGAGAGAGATGGGAAATATAACTCAGATGCGGAAACCATGTTGTGAAGGATGAGAATCTACTTCTGGCACTCAATCAGCTCTTCTCCAAGCTCAAGCCAGGCTCCAATGGTGATGGAGGTCGATCAAAGACACTTGCAAAATCAGGTTCGTCACTTTCTCTCTCTAGGTATCGCTTTTTCTCTCTCCAACTCGGAACCCCCCTCCTTTGGCTGGAAATTGGGTTAAAATCCAGAAATTTTCGACCACACGGCCGTGTGGAATACCCAGATGCCCGTGTGGAAGTTCGAACGCGGCGTTTCGATTAGTGGGCTTCCAGGCATGCTGCACGGCCAGGGCCACACGGCCGTGTGGATTCCCAGGCTGCCCGTGTGAGCTCCCTGGACTTTCCTACACGGCCACTGTGGCTTGCCCGTGCAATTTGGTGCCACACGGCCAAGTCACACGGCCGTGTGGGATTTTAGGCGTGCCCGTGTTACTTCCTCAGCTTCTCGCCAAACGTCCAATCTTCGTCCAATCGAACCCGAACTCATTCCCAAGCCTTCATTCACGTACTAGGACCTGAAATATCACAAACAAGAACAACCTAGCGTGAAATCAGCCTAAAACACAAGAAATAAGACTCCAACGGTATAAGAATGGTGGACAAAAACATGTGTATATATCAAGTCATCAGTCGTTCTTTTTTATTCACCATTAAGCTCAACAAGCACGAAGCTCCTAGCATTAGAACGACCCCCAAAGTCGCACGGCTCAAAGGGGTTGACTAGGGGATAAAATGTTTCAGGATAATCAACTTTTGGGTGTGGACTAATCCTATGCTTCCATCATACTCACTAGTGACAACGGTGAATGTTACACACCATGGCGAGAGGGATCTATCACACATGAAAATGACGATCGACACAAAACTCACATGGCTACCTAGCCACCCAATCATCTATTCCAATTCAAAAAAATTCAATGCATGGCTATTGTAATCAAGAAGTAACCAAGTCAAGACATCCATTCATTCAAGCACACATGAGAACTGTAGACACCACATTTTGTCCGGATTTCGACCTCTTAGATGTCGAACTTTTTCAACGATCTAAAGTGCAGAGTGTTTGGAATTATCTGCAAACAACGAACAAGTTGAGAATTGAGAAGTATCACAGTTGGGGCTTTCGTATTAGAGGATTTGATCAATGACAAGATTTGTTCAATGTTGGAAGCCAAGGACGAAAAGAATTCGTTAAAAAATTTGAAGTCTATTACAAACGTTTAACGAAACTACAAAATTTGGATTTGCATACACTACTCAACAATCCCTAATACAATGGGCTAAGTTTTGATTTGTATCCAAACTTGGCCCATCACAAGGAAGCCCAGATCAGCAGCCCGCAAAACAAAGAAGAAATGAAAATCAGCCCAGTTTCAGTCCACAGTTCAAAGACAGATCAAGCAAGCCCATTTCAAGCCCTGACGAAGAAGAGGGACTATTTGGCCAATAAGTTGAAGCTAGAGGGACTAGCCCAAACTTGGTTCAATCTTATCCAACACCTGTCCTTACCAGTCAGAACCGACTAAGCAAGGTGGAGGCTTTCAGATGCAGCCTTGAGGATCAACCAATCAGAGAGAAGCATGTCATACTCATCATCCATCACAACATGACACATGGCGCGCAATTCTTGCTATAAATGAGCTCTTTGGGCTCTGCGTTGGGGGGGGGGGGGGGGGGGGGGGCGAATTGTGAAAAACAAACCCTCTTAAGCCAGAAAATCAAACCCTAACCCAAAGATCTAAACGGCGGCCGCTTCTCACTTCCCCTCTCTCTCTCTCTCTCTCTCTCTCTCTCGTTTTTCCTCTGTTCTTCAAAAGAAAGAACCCAGAAACCCTAGCTAAGCGTCGCCTCTCTCTCACCTCCTCTGATTCCTCGGCCGTCGCCGCTCTCCTCTCACCTCTCGCCTCTCTCGTTCCTCGGCCGTCTCTCTTCTTCTTTTCTAGAGAAGAGGAGACTAAACCCTAGCCGCCTCTTCATTACCGCCACCATCTCTCTCTTCTCTTTTCTTCCTCGCCTCTGAAACGAGAAAGAAAACGAGAGGAGCCACCTCGTCTCCTCGCTATCATCTCTTATCTCCGACATTTAAGCCCTGATCCTACAAATCCTAATCGACCATAAGACCACGATCAAGGTAACGCGTTTGAACCTCGCCCTTAACTTCTTTACTTTAAGGCTATGCCATCCTCTGAGCTTGCATGTGTATTTTTCCCCTGTTTTACGGTTCAAAAACGATATTTTTACAATTTTCTTTTGGATTTTGGTTTTGGACGAGGAAGAAGAAAAGGGGGTCGTCGTCGAATCCGTTCCTTGCCGGCGGCAGTGGAGACAGAAGACTCACCGTCGCTGAATTACAAGAGAAAATGGCTAAAATTTCAGTCAGATCGGGTAGGGTTTCGATCTCTTTCATATTTTTGATTGCATGTGGTTTTTTTTAGCTTGGTTTAAAAAAAACTGGGTTCTGATGTTTTTCCTCTTTGTATTTTGATTTTGTGTTTTTCTACTTCGTTTTGGATCCGTTACGCGGGAGCGGAGGTTCGCCGATGGCGAGGGTGTTTTCACTAGTGGCGGAAAAAAAACATCAATCGCTAGAGACTCAAAGGCGACTTGGGTAAGTTTGTTTTCTGAGTTTTTTTTTGTGTTTTTAAACTTGAAGGATAGTCAAGACTCTGACTATCGATCTTGATTTATTGCAGGTTTTGGTAGCAAAGAGGTCTAGGTGAGGTCTAGTAAGACTCTTGAGAAATTTAACTTAAAAAATGGATTATATGGCTATAGACTAAATGATTTGTGAACTTGAATACTAAAAAAATGGTTGTGTGCGTTTGTTCTGGAATTTTAATTATTGTTGGATTTGATCGGTGGATTTAGATCTAGCTCTAGATACTCTTGAAGTTAGAAAAGAAAGGTTTTCTGAAATGGAAATTTAATTAACATACTCCAAATTGTTAGTTTTTTCGATTGCAAATTACTGCCTCTGCTCGTGATTTGCTAGACTGGGTACTATAAATCATTGCTACTACTAATGATTTTGGGTAGATTATGAACTTTAAAATGCATTTATTGCTTGTGATTTCACTGAACTATGGTTGATAGTTGGTTTGTGAATCATTGCTACACAATACGTGGAAATACACAGTACGTGAAAATAACTGTCAGTTTCACATCAAGTGGAAAAAAGATTTCCGCCACACTTAAGCTTCCACTACGGTTTCGTGCCTTGAAGGCTTTCACAAGACCGACTTTTGGACAACTAAGCTCAAATGCACACAAAGCTCATCGGGGCGTGGTTCTAGGTGGTTCACGGATTATCCACACAGGAAAACAAACCCTAACCATGCCCCGATGGCTTCAAACAATCAACCACAAGCATTGATCCACATTCATTTGTATTTTTATAATTGGTGGGCAAGTTTCACATTCAAACACAAATTGCACCAAAATTTATGCCCACCAAGGCTCAATTAAGATTTAAGATCATGCAACATCAAACATCATTCAAGCACATCATTCGACTAATGTCTCTCCCTAATTTCTATATTCAAGCATCAATTCACAAAAATTCACCTCACTTCACATCCTAATCCGATTCTAAAACAATTGATAAGGAAAATGTTGAAAACAAACCTCGCCGGAAAATAAAACGAGACCCAAATCTCCCCAAAATGCAGGCGAAGGTGCGCCTAGGTGAGCGGAGAAAGGGTATGTAATTTGTTTTGGGTTTCGAGGTCAGAGGACGCCTGGATCTAAAAAAAATCGACGAAAATTCACGGTTTCCGGTGAGTTTTTGAATTTTCCGGGGAGAATGGGTGGTCGTGAAGTGATCTGAGTCGTTCACGCCCCTTTTATAGGCAGAACCCTCAGTTCACAGATGGACGAGTCAGTTCATGGTCACTAAGACCGTAAACATAATTCCCAGACCGCGAACTGGGGTTAAACGATGAATTTTGAAAACAAGGGGAGCACCCACAGTTCACGGACGGAGACACCAGTTCCCGGTTTTGTAAGAACGCAAACTGGGAGCCAAAACTGTGAACTAAGTGAAAAATAGGGTAATACCAACAATTTTTGACTCAATCTACTCCACAGTGCCCTTAATCCGATTACACCACATCCCAAAACACGAAAACATAAAGACTTGGTACGGTGATACCCCAAATTCAACACTTGAACTCTTCACACACACAAAAAGAGAAAAATAAGGAAAAGAAAACAAATTGTCATTGGGTTGCCTCCCAACAAGCGCTAGTTTAACGTTACTAGCTCGACGTTGCATATCTATCATGCTTTAGGGCATGAAGCCACCGAGAGTGGATGCTATTTATTTATTTCTTTTTATTTGGGGAGGGTGTGTTAAGGGAAAACTTCATTCTTCATTTGCTACATAACTGACACATATTGACGATGAGCCATAGTCCCTCTTAAATAAAAACAGAAGTAAAGAAGTCCAGCAAAGGTGTAAAGTAGTGCGGTGGATTCGAATTTAGGCTTTGGTATGTAGTTGTCAGTTTAGTTTTATTTAATTACTTCCTCAGAGCCATTTTCATAGCTTTTTCAAAGGCATTCTGTTTAGTTTCTTTGGCAGGTCTATTTTTAGGGGATTTTTTTTGAATATTTAACATGTTATTTTAATTGTAAAATCTAGGATACTTTATTTTTAAATATTTTCATGGTCGAATTCAGGATCTAGTACGTAGTTGTTACTTTTATTTTATTTAATTTCTTTCGCATAACCTCCCCACCTCTCAACACCAAAGTTCCCTCATTATCATCGATTAAAGCCTTGGCGGTGGTAAGGAAGGGCGTCCTAGTATGAGTGTCATATCCGCATCTTCACTGATGTAGAGGATAACAAAATCCATCGGATAATAGAAAGTGCCAACTCTCACTAGAACGTCCTCCACAATACCCCTAGGACTAATGACAGAGCGATCGACCAATGTGACACTAAGCCTAGTGGGCTTCAATTCACCCAAATGCAACTTCTTAAAAAGCTTCTAAGGCATCACATTATTGCTTGCTCCAAAGTCTGCCAAGGAGTTTCTATATGATGATTTCTTATGCAAAGGGGGATAGTGAAACTACCTGGATCCGGTTTCTTTTTAGGAAACTTGTTTAGGATAAAGGTGGAGCACTCCTCGCCCAAGGTGACATTGGCGAGGTCTTCATATTTTGGATTCTTGGCGAGAAGCCACTTGAGGTATTTGGGGTGGAAGAGGAGGCTTGTACTCAGTCACTTGCGGTGGGTTGTACTCAGCCACTTGCGGTAGCGTCGGCAATGCCTTCTTAGGCTCTTCTTCCTTTTCTCCCAATTCTTCGGGATTATTGACCGATGTAGGGGTCTTCTCTTCTTCGTTCACTTCCTAAAGAACAAACTCCGGGGTAACCTTCCCACTCCTCAAGAGAACTGCATTGCACCCGGCATTTTGGTCTTTAGAGTTAACAATGGTTTGAGAGGGTAGGGCTCGACTTTGCCTCTCGGTGAGGATCCCGGCAACGACAAGATTGCCAATTTGCACTTCCAAGAATTCAAGGCTTGCTTGATGGCTCCTTAATCCTGCCTCAACCGAGGTAAACTTAGTTGTTGCCTCATCCATAAATTGCTCAATATTCTCGAACTTTTGAGTGCTCGTGTCCACAAAGGTGGTCTCAAGGGTTTCAAGTTTTGCAAACTTATCAGGTTGTTGGAACCCTTGACCTCGTTGAGCTTGAAGTGGTTGTTTGAAGTTCGAGCATTGGAATTTTGGCCTTTGTTGAATGAAAGTAGGCCTTGGTTGGTAATTTCTCGTTGGTCCTTGGAAACCGGGGGGTCTTGGATTGGTCGGAGACGACCAAGAGAAATTTGGATGATTTCGCCACCCCGGGTTGTAAGTATTGCTATAGGGGTTGTTTGCACTAGCATTGGCAATGAAACTCACTTGCTCCTCGACGGTGCTCGATTCCTTCATCATTTGATAATCCGAAATCTCATGGTTGGTACTTGAGCACGAATCACATGCCATCACCAGCCTCTTCCCATGCTTTTTGTCCTCTAGGAGTGCCCCAATCAACCGATCAATCTTGGCTTCAAGCGTGGGATCGCTCCTACACTTTGCACTCCCCCTTGACGTACTTCTCTTTCCACTTCTTGTCAAGCCCAAATCATACCCTTTACTTGCCATGTCTTCGAGAAACTCGGTTACTTGGACTAGAGTCATGTTTATCAATTTCCCTTGACATAAGGAGTCAATGAGGATCTTGTCGTCTTGGTGGAGACCGCCATAGACGGTCTCAATCCGGAATTGTTCCTCGAATCCATGATGTGGGCATTGGAGGAAGTAATCGGAGTAGCTTTCCCAAGCATCCCCCAACGTCTCATCTTCCTCTTGCTCAAAATGGGTGATCTTCTTGCGCCACTCCACCGTCTTAGAAGGTGGGCAATACCGAGTCATAAACTTGTTGAGCATATCATCCCACGAAGTGATCGAGAGAGTTGTTCTATTGTTGAGCCACTGAGACACATTCCCCGCAAGAGAGTAGGGGAATAGCCTCAACTTCAAAGCATCCTCGGGGACACCATTGATCTTCAAGCTCCCCACATGCTCAATGAATTTTTGAACATGCTCCCTTGGAGACTCATGGCTAAGCCCATGGAATAGGGCATTGTTTTGAATCATGGTGACAAGGGTGGGCTTGATCTCAAAATTGTTGGCGGCCTCGGGTGGATGTCGAGTGGCGGGTTGAATATCCGGCGGCCTTGGAGCCATGTAATAGCCCATGGTCCTCAGTTGCTCCTCCGCGACTACTCCTTGAGCGGGTTGATTAGCCGCCATCTCAGCTATACTTCCTTTCTCTTCGAAATCAACCCCTTCCTCAACTATAACTTCCTCTTCTATCCTTCTTCTTGCCTTCGCTAGTTCCTTCTCACGAGCCAAGTGTCGGAGTTTGCGGTTGAGATCCTCGTATAGTGGCTCCAAAGATGTTGGATTACTCCGGGTCATACACCTCCCTACACACACTCAAAAGAACCACAACACGCCTAGCACAAGCAAGATTTGAACACACACGGAAGGAAAATTAAAAGGTAGATTAAAACAAAAAAATCTTGTCAAAATAATGAACTGTTGGTTCCCCGGCAATGGTGCCCAAAACTTGACTCAACCCGAATGAACCACTTAGAAACTCCCGATTAAGGCCCAAGTATAAACCTTAATCGGGTGCGGTACAGGACAAGTATGTTTAAATATCGACCTGGTCCAGTTCATGTACCCCTACTTCGATTGTTTGTAACATTATCTAGCGGTTGGTTTTGGTGAAGACGAAGATCTAAAGATAAAGTACTTGCAAAGAGAAATGGTTTTGACACTAATTTAGAAGGCTTCATAACTCGCTATGACAAAACTCCTAACAAAGGCCAAGTGTAACCAATGAAAGGGACTGCAATATAGTGGCTCAAGTAATAAATATCGAATCCACGGGTCTCTAGAGTTACTATTACTCAGCTTCAGTTCATTATCTAGCAAACCAGATTAAGATAGAACAACTAAAACTACACTAGCAAACTACAGTTAAAGTTAATCAAATTACATATTGGGAACTCACTTAGGTATGATTCCCCCTAGCCACTAGCCAGATTAATGATTGATGATCTCTAACCTGTTTCACCTTCATTCACAATGCAGAGAATCCTTAACTAGACCTTGAGTCTCGACTAAAGGAACAAGGCCCTCTTGAGTCAATTGCATAGAGGGACGTATCCTTCTCTAGAACAACCGATCAAGGCGTTCTGAACTAGACTCCCTCTATCAAATGAGGTTCTCAATCGATACAAAGCATTGAATCAACCCTCGACTAAAGCAATCGATCCAATACTATCAATCTATGGTGCTCTATTGACCTAATCAGGTATTCTCTCTCATTGGATC